AGCGCATGTGTTAAGTTAAAATCAGCACCACATGCACATGTGAGTGGGGTTTTGGTTGGCTCCCATCCGTACCTTAAGTAAATACCATCTCTGAACTCTGATTTATTCAGGTTGAATTGTATCTGCTCAGTGGTAGAGCATTGAGCCAGTTAGAGGCTCCCTTTTCAGAGGCCAGGTCGATTGCGTATTTATCTGTTTCATTTAAGGAGTTAATGAGGTTTGTTTTTTTTTTCGATTTGTTCTATCAGTTTTCAATTTTTTGATTTTCATACATATTTTTTCTTGCTGTGTTGCTGCTGTAATAGGATCTTGAGATTCCAGTACCAGGGATGTTTCCTTAGACCATTCTAGGTAGCTTTCATGATCGGACGGCAGCTTGATGTTAAGTCCGCCCAATTTAAGGGGTAAGGAAGATATCTCACGGAACTGGGGTTTTAAAGTGTCTTTACCGACTAGGTTAGGTAATAATTGTTCTTTGATAATATTTTCACATTTTCCATAGTGTTAGGCGTTGTCCTGGCAAGAAATGAAAGCTTTTCTTGAACTCCTTTAGTATAGCAGGCATAAACGTTTTGAGGGGAGGTTTTAGCAATTTTCGTTAGTTTTTTCAAAATTTTGATTTATTCCTTCTGTTGAAATTCGAGGAATTTTTTAGATTCAGATTCTGTTACATTATCTCTCTTCCTATTTCGGGATAAGACAGCTCTACTCGTGTCCTACTTTATATCTGGAAATTGCGAATAGCAATTTCCTGCTGTTTTTCTTGAGTATTTTCCCGCAATTGTAAATTCGGTTGTTCTGTTTTTTCACTTTTTGTTTTCAGTTGGTACGAGAAAACTGAGCATGACAGGCTCCATTCGAAATTTTGAAAATTAAAACTTCACTCCAGAATTACTTATTTTCGTGTCTCTCAAGGTCAAACTTCCAGACATGACCGACTGGCACAGGTGTGTCGTTTGCAAAGCTTACATCCATGCCTTATGTTTCGGGCTACAGAGCAGCAAATTTTACTCAATTTAAACTAAATTACAAAAGGGGCCCTTCCGTTTAGTTACGGTAAGTGCACAAGCTGGATAGAGCCATACCAGCGATATAAAAATGCATATATATCAGCAATGAATTCATAAATCAGCATTAAATGCATCGTCATAATGTTAATTTATCTTAGCCGTCCTTCCTCTACAATAGCGCTTATGGAGTTGTCGATAAATTGAACTTTGCGTAGCGATCTGCGCCCCCTTATACAAAGTATAGAGCTCCTCAGGAGCGCGAAGCTTATTTTAGTTCTTATGTAGTTTTTCGGCCAATCGCTGCATCGTCCGCGTGGCTGTTGGAGCAGCGCCACCGGTGCATCCAAAAATTAGCGGGCAGAAGTTCTTCAGCGTTTTGTGGTATTTGTATGCATCCTTATGCAGTTTTCGCGATGTTTTGGCATGGGGGTTGAAAATTTTCACATCAAAGAAAGCGCGGCTGAATCGTGAACCCCAGAGTCCGTTTGCCTTAATGTCAAGTCGCGCCTCATCTTCAGTTGTAGTTGAATTGTTGACAAAGCTTTCGCCTTGCAACGGCTGAAGTTTCGGCTCAATCTCGACGTCATGGCAAACCTCGTTCATGAGGTTGGCGAATGTGTCTCTGATTTCATTGTGTGTTATGTGTGTGTAACCACACTTTGCACAGTGAAGCGCATGTGTTAAGTTAAAATCAGCACCACATGCACATGTGAGTGGGGTTTTGGTTGGCTCCCATCCGTACCTTAAGTAAATACCATCTCTGAACTCTGATTTATTCAGGTTGAATTGTATCTGCTCAGTGGTAGCGCATTGAGACAGTTAGAGGCTCCCTTTTCAGAGGCCAGGTCGATTGCGTATTTATCTGTTTCATTTAAGGATTTAATGAGGTTTGTTTTTTTTTTCGATTTGTTCTATCAGTTTTCAATTTTTTGATTTTCATACATATTTTTTCTTGCTGTGTTGCTGCTGTAATAGGATCTTGAGATTCCAGTACCAGGGATGTTTCCTTAGACCATTCTAGGTAGCTTTCATGATCGGACGGCAGCTTGATGTTAAGTCCGCCCAATTTAAGGGGTAAGGAAGATATCTCACGGAACTGGGGTTTTAAAGTGTCTTTACCGACTAGGTTAGGTAATAATTGTTCTTTGATAATATTTTCACATTTTCCATAGTGTTAGGCGTTGTCCTGGCAAGAAATGAAAGCTTTTCTTGAACTCCTTTAGTATAGCAGGCATAAACGTTTTGAGGGGAGGTTTTAGCAATTTTCGTTAGTTTTTTCAAAATTTTGATTTATTCCTTCTGTTGAAATTCGAGGAATTTTTTACATTCAGATTTTGTTCCTATAACTGAACCAAGCACTCGGGCTCCTGCTTTTATAGTGATTCCTGTATTTGCGAAGATTTTCTGAGCTTCACCGAGTTTTTCATCTTTGACATTGAGTTGGCATTTAGATGCTTTCACGTGGTAGCCGAAAAATTTACCCAGTGATAATTTTATCGAGGACGGTTCGTAGATTGATTAATTTACCGACTGCGTTTCCGTCGTCTGCGTACTATTTTTGGGTTACTTCGTCTACTGATAAAAGTTTTATGAGGGGTATTATGGCTAGAACGTACATGGCCATTGCTAGTGGATCCCCTTGGGTTGTCCCTTCTTGAGAGTAGGTTGTTTTTTTTGTTAACGAATAGTTTAGATGGGTTGGAGTAGGAGTTCTTAATTGCTCTTAAAAGGGAAGGGCAGGTAATTTTGATGTTTTTTAATGCCAGCTTTCGGTTCAGCGAGTTGAAAGCGTTTTCGGCATCTATCAGTAAAACAGCGTCGGCGGAAGTTTTGCTGTATTGATCTCTTAGCTTATTCAATGCTTATTCAATGCCACATTTTTGTCCTAGGCAGAGTTGGTAGTTTGAGCCGAGCGACATGAATTCGTTTTTTAGGCATTTAGTTATTGTTCTCCCTATTATCGTACGCATAACGTTTCCTATGCCTATGGGTCTTACCCCTGGATTCTTATCTAAGGGTATTAATCTGCATGCGTTATATGGTTCCATTAGTTCTGGTTTTAGTTCTTCTGTGGCCAATTTTTTGGCAATTTTAGCAATTGTTTTCGAAATTTCAACTGATTGTTGCCCGATGTGTGTTAGAATACGTCTCCATTTATTCGCATCGAGGCCAGATGGTCCATGCGATCCGTGCGTTCCCATGGCTGCCTTCTTGATATGTTGACCGTTCATCTGATCAAATATCGATGGATGGAAAGGAATTGTTTCGTTTGAGACTGGTGTAATATAGTTCTCATTAAATGGTTCAGATGGTGGGTGTTTCTCTATGAGAGTCTGTTCAACTGTCTTACCTTTGACAATCTCGTCGAGCGAAAGAACGCCTTTAGATGTGTCTGTTAGTTTTGCAATTGCGCTTGATATTTTTCCAGTATTAATTAGTTTGTTGAACTGTTGTGCTTCAGCTTAAGTTTTTCTTCTACTTCCTTTCAACTAGCGCATTTGCAGCGCCTTTCCTTAAGTCATTGCTTAAGTCGCCTTGCTATTGTTTTGGATAAAGATCCATCAATTTCGGACTTTGTTTTGCACGGTAATAAGTGTGAAAAAATCATTGCTGCGTGCATTGCGAAGGTATTTTTGTTGTTTTCTATTAGGCTGTTCAAAGTTCTATTGAGGGTTTCAAAAAGTTATAACCAACTTTATTTTTGACAAGATCATAAAGACCGGTTTCCAGTGGATCACTTCGGTGTATATTTTCCTGGTGGTTTCTATGAGTTCTGGACAGGGGTTTGACCATGGGTCTTGTATTGTTCTGGGTTCTATAGTGGAAGACTCTCCTGAGTTTTGTGAGTGTGGGGCAGTGGAAGGGTGAGGGTGCATTTCGGGGAGCGTGGTTGTAGCTAGGGTTGGGGGATTGCATTCATGCTTGTCGTTAGCTGAATGAAATTGGGAGGTGCAGCGATGACAACTGAAATCGTCATAGGGATCACTGCTGCGGGCTAGGCCGCTGCATTTTACATGCATGTAGCCTGGGTATGAGAAGCACCAAACACCTCCGCCTCGCACGCTGCTTTTGCAAATAAGGCAGTGTGTTTGAGTAGCCATTTTAGGAAGGACGGCGGTGTCAAGTTAGCGAGAGAATTTATAGATTCAATTAGCAAGAAAATTTGTAAAAAAGTCATTACCGTAGAACGAGAAATGAATGCCATCACGGCAGAACATTTGAGGGGTTAGATTTAGGTTGAGGTTAGGCGAAACAATGAGTGTACGGGGATGTACAAATCTTTTTATCAAATTAAACAGCACATGATTATGAATATAAATTTTGCGGTTTTACTTCGGAACTATTACAGTTCTGTATTGTTTTGGGGATGATCAGTGTTTTGGGCTGAAACTTATTAGTGACGAGGTTAATCAAGATTTTCCACTGCTGTTCTAATTCTTGTGGATGCAGCCTGTTGTCATGGTATCCAGCAACTATTGTTACTGTATTTAGGCGCTTTGGTCTGTATTGTAACACTGTTTCAAACAGATCATGAAGCGTTGCGCCGCGGTAGGAGTGGATTGTTGATTTTACTAGAGCTGGTTTGATATATTTGGTCCTTGAAGTCCCGATAACTAGTTTCTGTGAGAACTCAGGGATGCGTCTCGCCTGGAATCGCGGCATCAACCTGAAACACAGACAACTGGGGCGAGAAAGGAAGCTCTTTGGGGTGATTTATGAATACTTTCACTTAGGGTTTAAAATTGCTGAGGCAAAGGCGATGAAAAAAAAAGAAAAAAAAAGAGAGAAAAAAAAGAAAGGAGTGATACAACCTGACGTCGATTTGGAGGTCGATTCACCAGATCACTCCTTCTTGCGTCTAGTTACGCCAGGGATACTTCACTCGCCTACGGCTGGGACGGCGAGATTTGGTAGGATAACCAGAAGAGGAAAGCCCAGCGCGCATATGATATGAAAACACACAAGCGGTAAATTTGAACAAAGAAATCTATTTAATAAGTTTATCACAACAATTAGTCTAATGATGGGTTCTCCTGCATACAATGCACACCCGAGAACTTTGCAAAAGAGCCCAACTCCACCAATAGACCAACAAGCACAGCCCCCATCACAACTCATAAACCAACTAGCACAGCCACCATCACAACTCAAAATGAAACATCACCATCAACAACTGAAACAAACAAACTGCCCAACGCAACACAATCGTATCCATTGCCCCCAGAAATCACTACAGCCCACTTCGACCCCTGGAAACTTATCGGCCAAGAACTTGAAATTAAAATAAACGACATATGTAAAAATGTCGTAGAAATTTTTGCTGAAAAGTAAATTTCAAACGTTTTTGCAACTATGTGCATCGTCAGGATTTTTACAATGAACTAATCTAAATGACGATAAAACATCAATTTACAAATGTTATTTACAATAAATCACATACAATTTGGTTCCAAACTATCATGATAAAAAATTAGCCAATCACAGTTGACCTCTAAATTACTATTAAGATTAAAATACTTTTATCCACTAAAATTAATTAAACATTTTTAAATTAATTTGTCTGGAAGTTTCTGAGTCATAATTTCGATTTACACCTGTACGTTTCAAATAAAAAAACTAATAAAATTTGGGACTAATTTTTCAGTGTTAACTCCCTGCTCCTAAACTCATCGCTCGTGTTCAAGCCCAGTTTCTCTTTCCTGATATGTATTGCCTCTAGTGTTAGCAATTTTGTTTGGTTGTTTGACCTAGTGTTGTTTGACCTAGTGTCAGCAATTTCGTTAAAAATGTCGTTAACTGGAAACCGCGCTTCATAATTCTAAGCAAGAACAAGCCCGGTTTCCAATTCATAGAATTACTTAACCAGCAGCTGTTGTCATTAGTTGAAGAAACACAAATTCTAACGTCGCAATGAAAGCAGCAATGATTCTCCCACATCTGCTGCTCCCCAAAACTAAATCAGAAACAAACGGATCATATTCTGAAACATTTAGCCGCCGCATATTTTTATGGAAGCAGGGCCTATTAGACGAACTTTTCACTGAAGCGAAAGCTCTCCAAATAAGACATCCAAAACAGAAGAAATCCAAATCAAACGAGGAAGTTAAGCAATTCGATAAACTAATGAGTACAGGTAGCATATCTGCTGCCATTGATTGCCTCTCAGACAAGAAAACAAAAGGAGTACTTCCCCTAAGCGAAGTCATTAAAGGAAAGACAGTCCTTAGTATCCTGAAAGAAAAACACCCTCAAGCCAAAATTGCGAACACTTACTATATAACTGAAGTAACTGAAGACACAATGCCATACCACCCCTCTATATTCGAACAATTAAACGCCAAGACAATTCGAAAATCAACTCCGAAAACGCACAGAAGCCACGGTCACTCAGGTCTAGATGCGCGCGAAAACAATTGCTAAACTATCCGATATAATAGCAACTTATGTTCTGCCTCATGAAAACCTAACGGCGTATAACTTGTGTCGCCTGATACCTCTGGACAAAATTTCCAAATCTGCTTAGGCTAGAAGTTTGGAATCGAATATGCTCTCCACAGCTTGAGGAAAGAGTTTGAGAAACCAGAAACTGACAGCATACTACTTATTGATGCAGAAAATGCCTTCAACTCGCTCAATAGAGAACTTGCTCTGAAAATCTAGAAATCTTTTGTCCGGCGCTACATCGTGCGCTGGCCAACTCATATAAATATCGCTCAAATCTATATGTCAATAACACCGTTTTGACATCTACCGAAGGCAAAACACAAGGTGATCCCCTCGCAATGGCTATGTACGGAATTGGGATAATCCCACTGATTGAGCTCCTGCAAAAATCAAATGTCACCCAAAAATGGTACGCAGATGATGGAAGCCCTGCAGGTGATCTTCAGAGTCTCCAAGCAATACGGGACAACCTGGATGTGCACGGAAAGGCTTTCGGACACAATGTGAAGCCTTCCAAGTGTCAACTCATAGTAAGAGAAAACCGTCGTGACAGCGCCATAAAAGTATTTGAAGGCACAAATATTACAATGGCAGATGATTTTAGACTCCTTAGATCGGATATAGGAATACCATCAGCATGCGATAAATACATGGAGAGCAAAATTGAAAAGACAGCTACCCTAACTGAAAAGTTTTTCAAAGTAGCTAAAACATTACCACAAAATGCGTACTCCTGCTACAAAAAGGGAGTTCAAGTAAATTAAGCTTTCTAACCAGGACAACTCCGGAAGCATTTAAGAAAATGGATGAAACTGAGAAAAATGTAAGACATCAGCTACTTCCTAGTACTACTGGTGAAAACCATATAACCGATGAAGATCGCAACGTTTTTGCACTACCACTAAGAATGCGAGAATTAGACCTCCTCAATAACACGGACTTTCCCAGAAATTATGAGTGATCACAAGCCATTTGTGATCCGTTAGAAAACATTGAACCAGAAATAGCTGGAACGGAACAAACTCTGATAAACAGAAACAGCAAAACTGAGAGACAGAACAACACACTCTCAATAAAGGCTAAAATTATGGAAAATTGCTCATCAGAAAAAAAACTGACAATACATCTGGCGTCACAGAAAGGAGCATCGAATCGGCTAAGCGTGCTACTCTTAAAAAGATACAATTTTTCCCTCAAGAAATAGGAGTTTAAAGATGGATTACATCTGAGATATGGATGGGAACCACCAAACACCCCACATACATACCCATGTGGACAACCATTCACACTGACCACTATCTACACTGTCCCAAAGGTGGATACACTCACCTAAGACATAATGAAGTTCGCGATACTTTTGCGACACTCCTGGACGAAGTATGCCATGATGTTGAAATGGAGCCGAAACTTCAATCGTGGGAAGGCGAAAGTTTTCACAACAAAACAACCACTAGTGAAGATGACGCTCGACTTGACATCAAAGCAAACGGACTCTGGGGTGGCCGATTCAGCCAAACATTTTTCGATGTAAAAGTTTTCAAGCCCCATCCATGCTAAATCCTGCCCCAAAACTATATCTGACGCCCACAAATATCATGAGAAAGTCAAAACATTAAAATATCAACAAAGAGTTCTGGACGTGGAACACAGCAGCTTTGTTCCACTAATTTTTGCGTGTACCGGAGGAGCAGCACCAGGCTCTACAAAAACCATCCAGAAACTAGCAGAGAAACTAAGCGAGAAACGGAACGAATCATACTCGGACACAAAAAACTTTATAAGGACAAAAATAAGTTTTGCACTTCTGTGGAGTGCAATCCTCTGCCTTAGGGGGTGCAAAAATCTTTAAAAAAACATCCATTATAGACAATTCTATCTGTGCTATAAACGACGAGGGTAGATTTTAATTGACATATCTCTCGATGCATTAATATTGACATTTATTCATAAAAATTTGCCGATGTATTTATGTAGCGTTGGTACGGTCCTTTCCAACTTGTGCACCTACCTATACTCAGAAGGTCGAAAATATCATAGTAACCGAGGTTACAGTCAGAAGTCCCGCCAACATAGTATCCCTTCAAAACCCTAGGAATTTTCTAGATATTGACGAGTAAATTAGGATGTTGATAGAAGTAAAGAGAGTCGCTGGTTTGGGATCAAGCCAATCAGTTTGAAAAACTAACTTACCTGCACAGATTAAACCGGAGTTGAGAGTGGCTCAAAAAGACTGACCCGATATGAGGCTACCGTTCTATCATATACAAATATACTTATATATAGCTGCGCTTTCGTTCCCTTGGCTCTATAAATAAAAAAAGTTTTCGAAGTAGTTTTATCATTAAGAGTGCCGAGTGCTCAGGCAGCGTTTATAACATGTATTGCGAGAGAGATTCTCTGCTTTAGAAAACTACCTGCCCTGGGTTCCTCGGTACACTAGCTCACATTCTCACGAAGCTTATTCAGAAAAACGTGTGCTAGGGCCGGCGGCACCCTGAACTTCAAAAGCTTAAGTAAAAGTGCAAACCAGGTAAAGTTAATATTAGGTACAAATTCAGAAGAGTTACTGTTATAATTGAACCAAAGTAAGTGAAAACATTACATCAATAGAATCAACAAGCTAAGAATGAAATTGAAAATTAAGCAAAGACAGCCGGTTACACAGCAAGTAGCACAAATGCTCCAACAATAGTTTTTAGAAAACAACAGTTTAGAAAGTTTTCTACAAATAAGTGTACTTTTCTCTACTTGGTGTGATACAAAGAGTTGATATAAAAAATAAACTCGGCATATTAGACAGTCATTATAATATAGGCATATCGAACAAAAATTTTTGTGGAAACACGCCTAGAAAAACTAAAAGAAAAAACTTAAATTTTTTTTTTCAAAAATGCTCACAGAAAATAAAATTATTGAAGTATTTAAAGGATTTGCCAAACTATAAAACTCCAAAACTAGCTTTTGTTGCTTTATAATAAAATTTAGCTTCCTAAACTAGGTATAATTCAGCTGTTATATTGTTAGCTAATTTAGCTCGACTAAGCGTGGATAACATGAAAAAAAAAACTAACACACCCGATAAAAAAAGTTCCCCTGCATTTTTTGAATGGTGGGAACAAAGGGAATGTTTGTCCACAACTAAAAATGAAACAACTTAAAGTCAATAAATTATTATACGACAATAGAAAAAAACAGTGTGGTATGACAATAGTGGTAGGGCAGCGGAATATTTGAGAAAGAAAAGATATATAGTTAAGACAACAATTGATGAGAAGTTATAGCCACAGGTCATAAAACAGATTCTGCCTCAAGCAAGGGAGTACGCTTCATTGTAACATTCGCCCGTATATTACACAGTAACGTAGCGTAAAAAAAACACATATTGACGCCAGGCTGACGTCAGTTACCTTAATTCTACTCGTTTTTAACCGTCGTGACCTAGCCATTTAGTTTTTTGTTCAGTTAAAGACTAAGAATTTCGTTGTCATTTCAAGGATACGCAGACTACATGATTACTAATAAAAACACGGCTGGAAAACCTGTGTCAATTTGCTTTTAGTGACAATTACA